CTGGCGGCGCCGCGAGGGGACAACGGGGGGTCCCGGCGCGGCGCCGGCATCAGCGGGCGCGGCGGCTCCCGGCTCCAGGAAGCCGCCGCTTCCCGCTGTCCCCGCCTCGGGGGAAAGGGGGAGCGCGGCGGCGGCTGCGGGGGACGGGGAGGCGGTACCTGCGTGGAGGGTGCGCGGGCCGCGGGAGCACGCGGCTGTGCCCGAGCCGGTGCCAGTGGCGGTGCCCGTGGCGGCGGCGGCCGCTCCGCGTCCCTCTCCGTCCCGGTCTGAAATGGCGGGGGACGGCGAGGGCTGGGGCTGCCGAGGCGGCCGAGCGCCGAGTGGGCGGATGGGTGGATGGCGATCGATACGCTCCGCGCTCCCCGCCCCTGAGGCAGCCCGAGGGGAGGGGGAAGGGGGGGAGCGCCCCGCCCACTGACTCAGGAGGGGCGGGGCGCGTGCGCGCGCAGGGGCGGGGCGCGTGCAGGGGCGAGGCGCGCGGGCACGGCGGGCGGGCGGGGCGCGGCAACGGTCGCTCGCTCGGGCGGCAACGGTCGCTTGCGGCCGCCCTCAGCCCAGAGGCGAGCGGCGCGTAGGGAAGGCGCCTGCTCGCATGTGAAAACCCGGCGAGTGTTGTACACCGGCCTCTAACTGGGAGGCTCTGGGGGCTGTTGGGCAAGGAGCTCGCTGTGTAAGCAAGGAGGAAACAATTTGGGTTATTGGTTATTGTTTTTTAAACCCTTACTGGGTCAAGGAAAGGTCATGAAAGCAGAATTACAGAATTGCCCCAAAACTTTAAACACCAACCAAAGTTCAAAATAATCTCAGTGCTAAGTCTTAATAATTATCAAATTAAACACAAGGCTTTTCTTAATTACTAGGCTGCTCTGGGTGACACTTAATAAACACGTATCTTCAGCAGCAAGCTGACAACGGCGTGGTGGAGCCTGCTTTGTCATTAAAAGGCCAAAAACTTAATTCCCTCTAATTGATCTAATTAGACCTATTGCGTGGATCGTCCCTAAGCTTGTGCTACATCCAAAGGGGTATGATTTCTTTTTTTTTTTTTTTTGAGGTATTTATGTCATTGTGTCTAAGACGCAGCGCATTCAAGCTTATCCCGAGGGTGACACCCATGATGTCAACGGGTTTACACTGGGGATTAATTTGGCCGGCTCTGTTTTCCCTCTCCAATTGGAAGGTCAGAAATAAATACATTGTGTCTACACATCTGGCGCTGGAGAATTTTAATTTAAAAGCGCGGAGCTTTCTTCTCCCTAATTGCGCGCGACAGGGCTTCCCTTCGGCCGTGCTCGCATCGCAGGCACGCGGCGCTCCTGGGCGGTAACCCTGCGGGACGAGGCCATCTAATTTGGAAGCCGCCTTGCTGTGATTAATGCTGGCAAAGGAGCCGAGGGCCCCTGCGCTGCTGCTCCGTGCGGCTCCCTGATGCGCAGGCATTAAGGCTTGGGTGGAAAACGCCAGCCATGTGGAAGTGCTGGCTCTTCAAGCAGAGCCTTGGGAAGAGCGGACGAGCTGTTTTCCCTGCATTCCTCAAGCCTTTTCGGTCATCRAAATCGGTGGCAGAAGTCCTATGGGCACCTCTGGGAGCTTGTGTACGGATTCTCATTGACGGTGGGTATCTGAATACCATCGTGAACTGCAAGGAAAACAGGAAAAAGAGAAAGGAAAGGAAGCTGAGAAGCATTTCGTGATCCCTTTTACTCCTCCCCTAGTGACTTGAGTCTTAGTGACCTGGTCATTTTTTTGTGTCTTTGCATTAAATGCTCTTATAAGGTAGTTTTGTAATAAGGAGTCACAAAACTCTGCGTGAGTGGAGAGACCATCTGAAAGTTAAAAAGACCATCTCACAAGTTAAAAGTCAAAATTCGAATGTCGCGGATCAGAACRGGATGGTTCCCACAAGCAGATGCCAAAGGCAGAAGAAAGCCCCACTTTCAAAGAACAAGTAGCCTGGTGGTAAAACCGCAAGCTTGGGATGTGGGAAACCCACATTCCAATCTGCGGTGTGAAACAGGCAGAGAAAGGATTTGCATGCGGATGTTCAGTAACCAAGGTAAATGCCCCCATCAGCTGCTTTCAGAGAGCGGGATAACACTTTGTGCTACGTCCCCCCATCCGCCAGGAAAACTGTTTGAAACGCCTGTGTGTCGGGCAAGCTTGGCAGCTCTGCGCGTAGCGCTCGTGCTCCACACACAGCTCTCACRTTTGCTCTCATCTGCAGAGCCCTGTGCGGACGGGAGCTGCTCATCCTTAAACCCACACAGTCTGCTCAGTCAGAATTGGAAAACTATCCAGGGACAGGCTTGGGTAGATCCCTCCCTGTGAAAACTTGATGTCTTGATTATGGCTTGGATCTCCGCATTTTGCACTGTCACAATGAAATGTAAAAACTGCAACTTTTGCAAAGGGTTGGAGGGGAAAAATGAATTGCTGGGATTCTGGGAATAAAAAAGTGGAATGCAAAGCTTCTTGATTTTTTTGTTGTTCTTGCTGACCACAGATTTGCTTCTAAATGTCTGTTATTATGAACTTGCTGTTTAACTAAATTTCTCCTAGAAGAAATACGTTCTGGGTAAAATGGTTGGAAAAGAAGCAGAAATAAAAAAGCTGATCAAAATATATTAAGCACCAACCTGTAAATCGTATTGATATGAAATCTGTTGAAAAGTCTGCACAAGTGCTGTAAAACCGCCTGGATTTTGCTGATGCTTTCTGTGTGTTGCCAACTTCATGTTCATGATTGTTTCTTCAGTGCAATTTGCACAGGCAAAAGACACACACTCAAATACCCAAACACTTCAGTGTTTAGCTACAGCTAAATATTTTCCTTAAGTTACAGAATACTCATCCATTTAAAGGCCTCTTCACATTAGAATATTCCAGGCTGGGTTATCTGGATCCTTCATGGATATGATCTTGGAAGGCTCTCAGGACAAACTGGCAGACAGAGCTCCTTAATCTGACAAGATGCTTCCCATATGATATCAAGCAATAAACTCAAATATATATAATCTCTCCAGCCATATTCGACCTCCTCAGATTTATCTAGTCCTAAATTTCATCCAGTAAAGTCAAAGACACTTTAAATCGCAAGAGGCATGAGCTTTCACCCCTGCCTGTCAGGGATCGAAGGTGCTGCTACACGGCTCCAGCCTGGAGATAAACACGCAAGACTTCCCTGTCTGACTGACTGTCTCTGTTAACAAGGTGAGACAGGAGGCAAGTTAATTCTTCCTTTTTTTTTTTTTTTTTTTTTTTTTTTTTTCCTGGCCTTTAACTCCCTGCAAAGCAGATGCAAAGCCAGCGGAGAATTACTACAGGTGGAGAAGTGGGTTTGTACAACTTCAAGACTGCATGACATTTATTTAAAATATTAGGACAGAGGCCAGTCGTGAGATAGGCTGTGTCAGGGAACCACCGCTGGTTCCCTGACACAGGTTACCTGGTTTGCAGGTTTACAAGTTAACCTGGCCAAGCACGGTTACATTTCAGTTCATTCCCCTTATATTTCAGTTCATTCAGCCAGAGGCCACTGGGGCTAAYGGTGTTCATGCTTTCAGCCTAGCATTCTGACATTTTGTGCCAGGTTCAGCATCAAGCCTGCAAGGATAAAGCATGTATAGAAYGCATGGCAAAGTTTCTTTTGAATACATCAGATCGGGCTGCCTGAGYTCGTATTGAGCATATACTGTGCTCTCGAGTAAGGCTCTCGAGTGTCAGCCGTGACTTGTGTGAGATATCCACGGTGTTTGGGATATTGCAGCCTTCAGCTGCTCTCTTCTCCTCATCTCCTCCCAAAGAAATTTAAGACCTTTAAGAAAATCCTYGAGACTTAGCTATGCTGCCCAATCGTTGATAAAACCACCTACAGAAGAACTTTTCTTTYAAAAGAGTCTTAGCTGGAGGAGTGTAAATGCCCTTACAAATAGCAYAGATGGGCAGATTGATGTATTTTTAAATGTTATTTCACAATAAAATCAAGGCAATACTTTTTGTGTGCTCTTAATTTTAGTCTCCCTTCACCTTTTCTCTGGTGACATGGATCTCTTCAGTAATTCCCCGCGTACAGATTCAAGTGCGGCATATACAGACTCACGTGGCATGCGAACACTGCAGATACAGACTCACACCCCATGTGGACCTTCTCGTCACCGCCYGCAAATTCCTGAAAAATTAGGTGATGGACCCCAAGAAATCCACAGGCTTAGAGAGGAAACTGCCTTTCAAATACTCAGCCATATAAAGTACACAGCAAGTTCTGCTTCTTTGCCTTGGGTAGCTGCTAGGCTGCGGAGAACACGGTTAATATTTCTTTTTCTGCAATAATGGTAGATTTGGCTTGAAAGTCCCTTGCTAAGATACAGCCTGCTCTTGGTATTTGTAAATGGGCTGCTGTTTGGTTTAATTCAGCTCCCTCTGACTTTCTAATTTTGAATATGTCCCTCTGCTAAAAAAATGGGGTGGAGGAACGGCTGAGCTCTGAAGTGTTCTTTAGAAAGCGAGATGCTTTTGCCATCCCACCAATGTCATCTGGCGTTAATTAACATAGCATCTCTCTAATTATATTGTCAGCATACAACTGCTAAATTAAAACACAAAAAAAAAAAAAAAAAGTTAAGAGCTCGCCGTTTAGCTCTGGTATTTCTTTTAAGCATAATTTTTCAAGTTTTGTGTACATAGGACATCAGCCAAAGCCCATTGAACTTAATGGGATTCACTCAGATTAGGCCCAGAAATGTTTGGAAAATCGGTGGGGTGTCCAAATTGCCGCTCTAAATCAAGCAGTTAGGTGCTTAAATTCTGTTATTCGATACTGCTGATTCTCTGTAGGGACCAAAGAGCATCTTTCAGGGGGGCAGGACGAGCTCTGGATGCCGTGGAGCGTCACCGTGCCCTCGGGGCGCCAAACGGAAGCCCTGGGAGGAAGGACTGGAGCGSTCTGCTTGAACAGGGAGAACCGCGGAGCTCTGGAGCAGAGGCTGCCGCAGGCCCTTCGCCTCGAGCACAACCTCTGCTTTCACCCAAGCCAGGCCTGCTCCGAGGCCCCGTGCCGGCGGGAGAGCCCAGCTGGAGGCGACGCCGGGGCGAAAGGCCGGATTCGCTTCGCCTTTCSCCGTGCTCCGCACTTCAGTCCTGCTCTGTGGCCTGCCTGCGGCTGCGGGGTTCCCACCTTCGTGCTGCCGCTGCTCCAGAGTCACGGGCCTCCCCTCACA